ATTACTAACTTAACCCTATAGCACTTTTCCCCTGCAGACAAAATAATTAAATCCAAACAACATGCGGTATTTTTCACCAACAGCTATTTTACCTTGTTTCTTTAATACAGTCATCTTATCCTGTCATTGCAGTGTAATTTGTACCTTACTACCACTGTGCCCCTAATGATCTTGATTTTACTATGTTTCTGAAATGCCTCGGCTTTAGGTGTGGATATTACTGTAACAGGTAAACCCTTAAAACTACAAGCATATTGATATGTTTAATTTGGGGGCAGCTACTTCTCTGTCACGTTAAGGGAATTTTATGTAATGATGGTTGGTCTTTGCTGTGTTCTGGTTTTGTACCCTTTAAGGTAATTAATAAAATTAAGAGGCGTTTCAGACTTCTCCTGTAGGTTAATGCATCACCTTGAACCTCACTGCAAACCTTTGTATGTCTATAAGCTTCACTCTCATCTTTCATTTGGAAATTGTTTCAGTGATAGAAACCTAGATCAGTTCTGTTCTGGCTGGAATTTACACTGGGAAAATATATTCCTTTTGTTCCGTAAGTTTTCTCCAGTTTTCCTAAATTTATTCTCTTTTTCTTCTATATAATTTCTAAACTAAGTGGTATATTACATGAAAAGGCTAATATTTGACCATATAGCTATCTAAAAATCCCTAAACCCAACAAATTATATTTTACTTTTTCTCCTATCCAAAATGCTGTTGGTTTGCATATAATTCACTTCAGATCTTCCAGACAATCTCTTAATGCTTTCAAGAAGCTTCCTTATACCCAACAAGGAAATTACTATACAATCCACAGAAGCATCACAAACCTTTGCTGACCTGCGCCCGACACCCAGCAAGTACCCAAACAGTCCATTTTACATCCTACTTCACAGCTGTTGTGTTACCTTTGGGAAAAGTCTCCTCAGTCACAAGCATACAGAGCTATTAATTTAGACTGAGGTAACTACCTATAGGAACATTTCCGCTCTCTAAAACCTTACGTCCTCCTGCCATGCAATTTCCTTTCTCTTCCAAAGCACAAGGGTTGTAACCCCCAAGATGAGACTGCACTACAGTGAACCTGCAAGTCTTATCAACATGAGCACAAGCTCCTCCAGTGCAAGCTGTACAGCAGGCCTCTAGAGATAGCACTTGCTCTTGCATGCAATGTGTATCCGGGTACCATCCACTGAAAAGACATACGTATAAAACATCAAGTGAAGTAACTGAGACACTCCCTACCATCTGGAGGAATTTATCTTAATTCATCCTTACTTTTTCAGAGGGGATTTATTTTCCCTTGTTCTCTTAGAAAATCAACAACCAGATTCAGATCAAGAATTGCATTTAACCTTCTTTAGCAGCTAAACTCCTTATAGGCTCACTCTGCTGGCCTTCAGCAACTTGAAATGCTGAGGGCAAGGAAGCAGGAGAAAAGCCTCAGTAAGCTCCTAACATTATACCTGTGGCTGTAGTTGGTCTTAAGTGAATAGTTCAATGAATTATTGAGAAGTTTGCGGAGCGATTTAGTAGTGAACAAGAGAACAAAATGAGCTGCTACTATGCCTGCCACACATGTAGCTTTTCTTAAGAGTAGATGAAGATTTATAAACTTATGTGTGTGTCAATTTATTTTAAACTAACATTTAAACCAATTGGGCTGCTAGTAATGTACTATTAAATAGTGTTTAAATTAAGCAATTTCTAAACCCAAATTTATAGAGGAACTTACAGAATTACAGATGCTGTGCTAATTCTATGCTAACTGTACCTAAACTTAAAAGGCAAAAGAAGTAAAAATAAGTCAGTAGTCAACCAAATCCATTCCTTACACTAAAACTTACCCAAGCTCTGATGCATTATGCTTTTTCTTATTCACAAGTACACTTAAAACGTTCACACAAGTTGGGATAAAGTAAAAGCCATTAAGATGCTTAAAGCATTAAGTGCATCTGTCCCATTTGAAATAAGGAGTGAAGCAGCAGTTTCTGAAGTTAGAATCTGCAACCACAGCAAGTTTAAGAGATACTTTGCTAGGGACAATAAACCCCGGAGGAATTATCACTGTAGGGGCTCTCACGTCAGAATAGAAATAGCATTATATGCTCACAAGTGACATAATATTTGGGTACTCGAAGGACACATTTTTATTCCATACAACTGTAAAGCAAATTCAAAATATTCTAATCCTCTGTAACACTTGACAGACATATCTAAAAGTATACTTTCTAAAATAAAATATGGAATTACATATTTTGTTTCAAATACATTGATACCTATCAGACCTTTTAAGGAATTGTTGCCAAATCCAGATTAAACTCTTGGCAATTCCCCTCAGTTATTGCAAAATCAAAATGAGGCAGTGCTTTCACAACTACATGCAATACTCACTGTTGAGAGCTGCACCCCATAAAAAGACTTAAGTACATGCTAGTGAACATAACTGAAATTTCCTTTATTGGCTCCTTTAGGTGCTTGCCTGAGATTTAGAGAGACAAAAAAAGTCTTACTTTTAGTCATGAATTATTAGAGCTGTTTGATCCAAACTACACATTGACATGCAAGTTTCTGATAACGCTCATGTTGCACTGACTTTATGTTAACAATCACAGTCACCCAATTAACAGACTTCAAACTGCAAAGACCTGAATTTTCAGCTTTTCCCTGATTTTCCTTCCTTCAATTATACAGGAGAAAAACTGTAGAAAGTGTCCTATAGAGGAACTTACTCTGATCTTTTGTATAAAAATTTTACGTTTATATTTTTATATACTTATATTCTAACAAGACAGTGACAGTACTGTATTTAATTTAACTGAGGGACAATGAACACTACTGAAACATCTAGTCTCTATGACGGAATCTGGCTACAGCAACACTGAATTCAGAGTCAGGTAACTTCTAAGGTAAAAGAGGAGTCACGTTTTTAGTGTATGGCCCAACACCTGTAACCAAGCAAGCATCAGGTCAAAGATTCATGATGTGAAACAGCTGAGGTTTAAAGTTCAACTATTTATCCACCCAGCATAGCTAATATACATGTAAAATTTCTGATACAGAAGGGATATTTTTTAGCAGCAGACTGGAAGGAAACCCCACATGTATTCTTTATTCTTACCCAATACAAAAAATTAATAACAAACCAGAAAAACAACTCAGCACTGATGAGGGTGGACTGAACTAAATCTATTCTTCCAGTATACAGCACAGTAAGAAAGCACAATGACCTCATACCATATCCAACTTTGCAACAGCTTGTAGCAAATGAAGACCAGCATTCTGTCTGTTGTAGGTCAAGTTTCCTCTACTGTCAACAAGCACAGATCTGACCTAAGGGCAAAACTGAGCAGCTGTTTCTGAACACATTTATGACTTGAATACTCTACTCTATTAATACAATGCAAAAAAAAAAAAGTCAAAATGAAAGATTTTTCACGGTAGCTGGTATTAATAGAGTAAGTTCTTCCATATGAGAAAAAGTGCCACTTATCAGGTATATTGACTATAAACATATTAACATAAATCCATTAAAAGGCTTCAGTAATTTGACAGTAAAATGAATTAGCATGAATGCTGACGAGTTTTAACTAAGTGCCTAAGTAGCAAGAAGATGAAAATTCCATTACCAGGGAAGTCAAAACTCTGAATAACTGCAAAAAGATTGAAACTTCAAGCATTCTGAGGTTTGGAAATCCATACTCAGAGCTGCCAACATACTCTCAGTGTCTAAATCTAGTATTATTCAGTTAAGCCTTAAATTACACAGGTAGGACATTTTTCTCCGTCACAGAAGACCCATCTCATTTTGGAAGAAGACCAAATTGTACTCTCTGTTTAATTGTGCAAAAGTTCATGTTCAGTTTTAAGCTCTGTTTGACTCATACTGTCCAAAAGTTACAATGAATAACCTTCATACTGAGGTAGAAAAAATCCTTAAATAGTCAAAATCCATGTTCAGTGCCAGGCTCGCAACAGCACTGCATTTAAAACACTATAGGAAATCAGTCAGCAGGGTTTGGTGCAGAGAAATATATTTTTCCTTTCCAAATCTAATACTGAGAGATGCAGAGTGCACGGAAACAAGAACCGACACTGTCCTGACTCTTGCCTTTGTCTCTATACTGATTCACAACTCCTTCAGTCTACAACTCTTTCTTCTATGAAGGATTTCTTCCTTTTCTCTCTAATGCCTGGGAACTACTAAAGATGACATTTCAGTACAAAAGGGTGTCCTTGTTTTCATTACTAGTGTCCTAGAAGCAGCAGCATCCCCAGCAGGAAGTAACTGCAGGTCAGTGCTAAATGTCATCTGTCCTCAAGGAATTATCTCATCTACTGCATTATCAATGTAAATAAAACCTTCAGCTAATTTTGTCTCAATCTTCTCATCAGCCTCCCCTCTAATCCTGCATGTCTATGTTCATGTGTACAGTGGCAGGGGAAGTGGGGCAGGGTAAAGAGAAGAAGGTACCTCATCTGAATTGGACATAAGTAGGTTTTCACAGTGGTATGAAACAGCACCTGTAACAACTGGCAATTTCATAATGTTTAAAGGCACTTGTTCCAGGCTCAAAGGCACTGAAAGTTACCCAAGTAGACAAACAGCAGAATAATAGTCAAACATTTCAGGTTTCTGGTAACAAGATAGTAAATGTAAAACTTTAATCATAATTTAAAATTGAATCCAAGGAACCTTTACTGTAAATTTTTCATGAAACTTAGTAACTTTATCATGTCCCAACAGTCAATATACCTGTTTATAAATAACTCCTAGATCATTTACTTACTCAAATTCTTAAACCACTGAAGTAAAAATGAGAAAGTAGTGCAGATTTTAATAGTTTAACACTAGCCTTATGGCCTACATACATTTTACATGCTAACATTGATAGCTGAATCCTTTCACAAGTTTTTTTTCTTCACTCCCTCCCCCCCGATAATCCTTATGTGATTAAATTAAAAAAAAAAAAAAAAGGCAAAAACAAAACACTTCTACAAAATCTAGGGAGAACAGGAGTTTATTGAGTTCTACCTGTCTGAAAAGTGCTGGTGAAGAGTTGCCAGTTCATGCGTTGTCTATATAGAGAAGTCAAAAGAGAAACTGTTGCAAAAGTCAGTTCATTTGAAAACTCTGTGCCCAGAACTTCTTATCATTCCTAAGTGACAAATGTGAAATTGTTTTACATCAAGCTGGTCATTTTCAAATGCAACATCTATACTTTAAGTTCCCTCAAGACTATTAAAATACTTTCAGGCAGTATTAATATACAGAGAAGCAATTAGTCATATCTTCAAGAACCCAGGTATCCAGCTCTAAAAGTGCATGATTTAAAACATTAGTAATGGAATCTTTTGAAAGAACATTCTTATTCAGTATTAAAGCATGCTATTATTACAAAAGTATCCATTGCATATTGTAGGAACAACAATTTTTCTTTTATAGACAACAAAAAAAGCATGCAGAATGGTATCAGATCAGTATAAATCTATTTTTAATGAGGCTCAAGATATTGTTCAAGTCCCATTAAGAATAGCTTCTTCCAACTGTGTACCAGGGTAGCCTTGCCCACGTGCTAAAAAGGTTTTGCACTAACATGGCTTAGACTGGCCTCAAACATTTTCAAAGCAGGACATTAAGACTAGATCTTAAACTTTAGTAATCATTCATATAATTTGTTTAAATAAAATATTAAAAACCACTGTAAGAATTAGGCATAAAAACATGTTAAGTAACAAATTTAGGCCTAACTAGCAGAACATACAGGTATTTACACAAATGCTGATCTGCTATGGTCTTCAGAATTGAGAAGACATTAGAATGTGGACCACATGCTCAAAAAAACCCAAGACCAAAACAAACAAAAACCTTGGGGAAGAGCAACATAAATCCCGTGTCAGCACAACTGCATTAGTTATAACCCAATATAATGGGTCAACTTGGTTTAATGTGAGGAGCAGTCACAAATGAACCAGTCTGTAGTAATTTTAGCAACTCTGTTTTAAGTTAAACTGCAAGTAACCTACTCAAAGTTAATATAGGGTACTTCTATCAAGCAGCTGATGACACCAATTTTCTAAATGGATGATGAGGAAATACACAGAAAATCCAAGATGAAAGAGCAGATGAAGATGTGAAGCATGTTAAAATGATGCAACAAAACAGAGTATATAAATCAAACAGGAATGTTTAATCAAGACAATTTTTTTCTTTTCCTTTTTTTTTTTTTTTAAGCAGAGATTCTTCAGGAAATTTTTTAATTGGAAAATGAAAGCCTATTCCACAACAGTGAGGCTGTTTCTTTCAAGCAGCTGTATTGTACAACTGTTATCAGGACCCTAAACAATTTACGTTGTTCTCTATTGATATTTCTGAACTAAAAAGTTTGAAAATATTGTATAGATTTTATTTGTGCTCCACGCATCGCAAGCAATTAACAGCACGAAGACTCAATTCCTCAGCTAGAATACCAAACTCTATACCAAGTATTACATGTACACAATACTTGCACAGTGACAAGCACAAGAAAGTACTAGTTTAGCACTTACTTTCAGAAATCCATACCAATTCATAAAATCAATTTCAATTCTCTCATGCCACCCAGTCTACAATTTAAGGCAACTCCACACAGCCAGCCACCCACCCACTTCCATACAAATTACGCTGGAGGTGTTTACTCTTACAAAAAAATCACTATGTCAATCAGGTACCATTTATTATTTATCCCTATAACTGTGTCAGCATTGAGATATGACAGTTAAACCAGTGTTAAATCAATACAATATTTACATAGCACAGCACATTAAGCTTGAGACACTCACTTGGGGGATAAAACCACATTTTAGAACAGGACAAAGGTCACCATTATTATGTGTTTGAAAACAGCTATTTACAGGTCCCTATGACATAACTATAGTCTGTACATTGTTCCAAGGGGGCAGGCAGAAGCAGGATAGGCATTTATTTTGAAGGATTTTAAACATACAATTTGGAAGCAGATTATAATGCTACCCTGAATGCCATAAACCACCTTAACATTCTCCAAGGCGGTCTCATATCCTAAAATGGCATGTCCAGATGATACAAAACAGACAACACAATGTTTACTCTGTGGGAATTTTTTACTCCAGCTATTCAGTCATCTGAATTTTGAAGGCAATTCGTCCCAGAAACTTGTCACGGTCATCTTCATTTTTTAAATTAGGTGAGCCCAGGATCTTACACTCAATTGCTATTTCTTCTTTGGTACTGTTGGAGTTAATTGCTAGTTGAACAGCCACTAGAGGCTGTAAATAGTGAGCCTAGTAAACAGAAAGATGGGGAAAATATTTGAGATACCACAGTTAAGTTAGCATTTAAATTAATATTTAATCCATCAGAACAGTTAAGATAAAAGCTAATTAAGAACCCAGCTTTTCAAAGCCCAGTCTGACTCGTGGAAGACTTCTTTATTCCCCTAGTTCAACAATCAGGTGTACATTATTACACTATTTCTTAACTAATACATTCCACATCATTTAAGTCACAGACAGTATCTTCAAGAGGCATATGATTTTACCCCTATTATATTAAGTCCATTTTTTTTCTGGAAACCTCTACTTGAAACAGCCTCTGAAATGACAGTCTTCCTTCCTTATCCATTCCATTGTCTCATCTTTTGGGGTTGGGTTTGTTATTTTTTTTTTTTAATCTGCTATAGAACATAACTTTTCCTGAAGTTTTCAGTGGTTTTTGGCATGCCAAAACCATGATTCAACAAATACTAGTAAACCAGCTTCCTCTCCACCCTAACCCATTTATTTTTTCAGCAACAATCCCTTCTAAACTGTGTTATTTATTTAATAGCTTTACACAGAAATCTTTCCGTGAACATGCTGACAATATCTTATATTCAGTCATATTTAGTGGAACAATTACAATTCTTGCCTTCATTCCTTATAATGAAAATTCAAATTTAAGAATGAATGCAGAATTTCAGTTTTTGTCAACCCAATATTATTTCTCAAGTCTAATTCAATTAGGACAACTTAAATTCTCTTGTAGAGTGCCTACAAATTAAATAAGAGCTTATTTATTTTACAGTTAAAGCAGCATTTCATCCAATATTCATAAAGTATTTCCATAATTTATTTGTATTTTTAGGTCGATACTGCTGACTGCTGATAAGCAAAATTAGTTATTTTCCTTGTAAAAATTCATGTAAGCCAGTGGACTAAATGACACTATGTATAATATACACTATTATACAAATATAAGCCTTAAATTTTAATTGCACAAAAATTTGCATTAGATTTTTTTGTTTCCCTGCTCATTAACTTAACCTAAAAATAACACAAATGTATTAAGGAGTCTATCATCCCTACTTCACTATCAGAGAAAGCACTACAGAGTACTCAAAGTCTCATTTACAAGGAATGATGGCACAGAAGTTGATGCGCTAAAATCTTCCATTTTAAGCAGTAGCATGAGGTAGACTGATGTAACTGCTTTCCTTGGATGGTGATTTTACAGAATCACAATTTTTTTTGTGCTCCTATATACATCAAACTGGGAGGTGAAATGCAGCTAAGCAAGGCATCCTCATAATTCTCTGGTTGTAAGGGCGATACCACATTGGATTTAAGTTTCCTAAAAACCACAAATACAGTTCCCTCATTTCCTCAGAGGAGTCTTCTCATCACCAAGATTTTTCAAAGAGGTACAGACATTTCTGCGATGTTTTGAAGACAGATGGTACCAGAATGGACTGTTACTCCATACACAATTTGGGTGAATCTACATCCTCATTGAGCACAACAGATCATCAAAAACGGGTAACATTCCCCAAGGTCAGGGAGTTAGGCTCCTTGTGCTGAGGCAGCACAAGGCAAGCATTTTCTCGACCATGAAACTGTAGCTATTAGTACTTTTATGGCTTCTACCTTAGCACAGGAGCAGCAGGATTAGTTGAAACCTCTTAACCCCTTTACAGAATAAAGCAATTCAACAATTCCACACTAATATAAAAATTCTATTCTACAGCCAAGAAATCAATCCAGTCTCTTGAGACCACGTTAAATATCTCAACCTCTCACAACTCTTCTTACTGCCTCTTCTTTTACAATACACTAATGTTATGAAAATTGAGCCCTACATAAGCAAGACTGGCTCAAACCACAGCCTCTGGTCTACATGACAAAGTGAACTTCAAAGGATGCTGAAACAATAACTAAAAAAAAAAAAAGTAAAGTCAAGTTTTTCATAATCCCTGTATCATGCAAAGAATAGCACTGAGTTTTGCCTGACCTCATAAGTCTCTTAATCTTTCCTCTTCCATCAGCATAGCAGCAAGACAGGAGTTATGTCAGAAAAGTTCATCCTGTCTTTGGTATAAACTAGCATCTGAAATCTCAAGGTCTACTGATGCTGTATTTTGCATTTCTTAGGGAAGCAGTTCTCTCTTTCCCTATTCTTTCATTCCAAGTATGCACTGACTGCCTATTGGAAGCACAAGTTGACAGTCTTTTCTTATTGTGCATGTCTAAGAAAATAGTTTACCAATTCAAAAAGTCTGGCAAGAAAATGGAAAACACAGAACTACCGTAAATAACATGAAAGCAAATGTTGAAGAAAAATGAACTCCTTCCTCATTAGTAAAAGCCATGTGAGGATAAAAAAAAATAGTTATGTAAACTGCTGCAAGTAAGTATAGGATACACTGGAAAAATAACTGACAAAGGAATAATTTAGTGCAAAAATCATTTTGGGGAAATTACAACCAGCCACTGTGGTATACTACAGATGTAATAGACTTATGTTTAAAAAGTACTTTTATCTTGAACATTGAAGATGTTTATTAGACTAAATAATTTGGTCAATAAGAGGCAATCTAAAAGTGTTATTCAATTAGATAAACAAAATTTATCTCAGAATACAATACAGGTAGATGAGGCAAACAAAGAAAAAAATAAAATACTAAAAAAAAATAAATTATTATCTGCTACCTTGAAGTGCTTCTGCATAAAACAGCAAATAGAAAAAACAACCATAGAGCCACAAAGAAATATAATCAACAATACCATAATGATTTATAAACTTACTACCCTACACATAAAGCCAAGAATTATAACCATTAGAAACTGTATTGTAATCTGAAAAAACAGTTTACTTTTCCTGCCTTTCCCTGCATGCAAAAAGATTAGAAAAGATATCAGTGACCAAAAAGCAGCAGATGCTCTTAATACTGCTAGTATACAGCCTCTTTTTCATTAGGACAATGCCCAGCATATTTGCTTTTATCTGCTGAAGTACACCTCTAATCTGTGACATCTCTGCATACGTAATATTCCTTATGAGTACTTCATTACACAGTATCAATCTGATATTAGGAACTGCAAATGTAAACAGAAACAAAACATTTACAAATTAAGACCATCATTCAGGCATACTTACATGCAAGCTTTTCCCATAGTATGGAAAGTACATTAAGTCAATCAAGCCTTCAGGGGGAAAATAATTTATCTCAACCATGCCCGCTTCCTGTGATTAGAGACAGCAACAAAATTAAAAATTAACATCTGCTTGCATAAAAATTAATACAAAATTAGAATTATAACACACTGATAAAATGCACGATTCCTAAAGACAGGCAACTGAGCTACAAACTCTTAGAATAACTTCCAAAATAGAACTATTTTTGGCAAATAGTTACATGCTGCACACGTCTGGATTATTAACAGTAGCACTTAGTAATCAAGACAAGACAGCTTGCCTTCATGTTTCCCTTATGAGTCAAAGAAAAGGGGAGGGAGGAAGAGGATATTCATTGCAATGGATAATTTAATAGCAACCAAAAAAAAAACCCCATACATAATTTAAAATCCCCAAAATCCACAAGCCAGCTTGTAAATTTTGGTGAAGCAAGAGCACATCTGTATTAAAGTTAAATATTAATTTCTGTTTAAAGCCACGTTTTTAAGCCTCTGAAATTTGAAAAATAAAATAATTCACAAAAACCTATTACCTCCCTGTAATGGTGTACTGTTCCTAACATGTTCAGATAGCCTTGGCATACAGGCTATCTAAAATGAAACCCAAGTTTAAAATGATGATGTTACTAGAGTTTCTATGTGTCATCACCACCTTAGAATAACAATATGCACATGATGCTTTATTGGTAGAATTTCACCTATAATCCAAAATTTTGTAAAAAGATTGGGATTAAGCTACCTATAAAGTTAGTGCATGATTTCCGACTAAAGAGACACCCAACGTGTAAGATACACAAAATACCTATATATGATTAAGCTGTCCAAGACACAGGCTATCGGTACAGCAATGCACAGACACATCTACCTATACACAGTATTCCTCAGGACTGTGTATCCTGGCAGGACATCAAACTACTGCAAGTTCAGACCACTGGGAAGTGCCCACATGTATCATCACAGAATCATAGAATGGTTTGGGTTGGAAGGGACCTTAAAGGACGTCTAGTTCCACCCCCTACCACCTTCCTCTAGACCAGGTTGCTCAAGGCCCCATCCAGTCTGGCACTGGACACTTCCAGGGATGGGGCATCCACAAGTTCTCTTGGAAACCTATTCCAGTGCCTCACCACTCTCATAATGAATTTCTTTTCTTAACATCTAATATAAATCTACTCTCTTTCAGTTTAAAACCATTACCCCTTGTCCTGTCACTACATGCCCTTGTAAAAAGTCCCTCTCCAGCTTTCCCCTTTTAATCACATGTATTTGGAAGACAATACAGGTCTCCCTGGAGCCTTCTCTTCTCCAGGCTGAACAACCCAAACTCTCTCAGCCTGTCTCCATAGGAGAGATGCTCCAGCCCTCTGATCATCTTTGTGGCCCTCCTCTGGACTCGCCCAGGAAGGTCCACATCCCTCTTATGTTGGAGGCCTCAGAGCTGAACAAAGTATTCCAGGTGGCAGGGGTCTCACAAGGGCAGAATAGAGGGGGAGAGTCACCTCCCTTGACCTGCTGGCCATGATCTTTTTGATGCAACCCAGGCTGGCTTTCTGGGCTCCTTTGTATAACAAGGTAAACATATAACCACAATAAATGGAAATGCCACTAGAGCAGCCCCCAAAATGCTAAATGTATCTTCAGAACACTGCTTGTTCAGTGTAATTCAAAAATTCAAAGTACTTTATTAACTTTCATTGTTTTTTCTGTATTACAATATACACCCACTACAGTTTTAAAAAGACAACAGTTCAAAGTTTAAAAGATGGCTGCACTAATATAACTAAGCAAAAAAGGAGCAAAAAGAGAAAAAAATAGTAAACCACAGGTCAAGAATACCTTCTCATCTCCTCAAAAGAACATACAGTATGTTGTATAAGATGTTCTTGTTCCTTTGCAGTCTAAATTACTACCATTCTACTACCATTTGTTTATTAAGTATTTTAGACCTTGAGCTAGTAAAAGTAAGTACTAAGTAGAAATGTGTTGCTTTTCACCATTATTATTTTATTTAAAGCTCATGCAGCTGGAAAATACTAATTTTTCGAATACATATCTGAAATTGGAATACAGGATAACATAAGGAAGATAAATAGGAGTTTTTGGAGCAGCTAAACACAAGGCATGCACGCAGTCATAAATATATACGCATTAGGCTATCAGTGCAATAGCAGAAAGGATCTGGGACATGCAATTGCCTGATTCATGCAACTGCTGTGGGGTTTGATGTTTTCTTTCATAATTAATTAATCCTAATTAATATCTCTACACAATTTAAAAATATATATATCTCTGCTGGTTTTCAGTAAAGGTAATTTTAACTTGAAAGAATACTGCTGCAAGATGTTCTGGCATACATGAAACTGTACACTTCCGGCTCCAAACTAAAGACCTAAACAACCACTGATCTCCAAACTTCTTGGAAACACAATCCTTTTTTTGGCTTGTTTCTCTTTGTGGAGATCTCAAGCCTACAGAAGCTCAGTTCCTCCAGGGTGCAGGAGGAAAATCCAGCTGTAATTAGTGTCTGACAGTGCAAACATAACTTTTCTAATCTACAGAAATTACAGTGATGACAACTAGCACTGTGTGGGAGCAGAGAGAAAAGCATCCCCAAGTATCAAGCCTGTTGACTTAGAAATACTAGATCTACTTAAATTTTTTACATTAAAAAAAAATCCCATAGGAAAAGTGCAAGGAGAGGAAAGAAGAATTGCCTCAGAGAAGAATGCCTGAAGAACAGGAATTTCCAAGTGAAAAACTTGAATGATGTTTCAGATGACAAAGACTGGCAGGATGCATGGACAGAAGCTCTTGGCCTCATTTTGTATGAGGCTTGGCCTCTTCATTTTTATTTTTTTTCCCCATTTAACAGTCAGAGTGCATTAAGTCCAGGCAGACACTTCTCCAAACTGCTCTCAGTATATGTCAAGCTAACTATAAACAACAAAAAATATTTAAAAACACAAATAAGGGGGAAGAAAAATTGCTGAAGAGCAAATCTGCAGGTTAAAAAAAATCTGCTCTAAGATGAAGCAAACTTGATAGTAGGATTTTTGCTCTGCTCAATTAAATTACCTTTCAAGCAAAATCCATCTTTGTCACTCAGACATTAAAGATTTCTGATGTAATATTTAAAATTACTAGTAAGTTGTATTTGTACTATGAACTGCACAATTATGATCATATATTCCATGAAGGAAACATCCAGTGCAGTCCATCCTGAATTCTTTCAATCCACAGTTGCTGACAGCAACACAGAAGGAAAAAGGAAAAAACACACACAAAAAAAACCAAACCAAAACAACCAAACAAGAAATCCCAACAAAACAACCTACAACCACAAAAAAAAAAAAAAACAAAGCCAAAACACCACAACAGAACACATCAGTTACTTAAAGATATGGTAAACACCCTGAAAAAGAGAATCAATACAGTACAAATGACCAGTAAACTTCAACTTCTGTTATAAGCCAGTATGTAGGCAACATTCAAATACAGTGGCAGACACAATGCAGTTATAAATTTGTCTGCAAAATGCACAAAAGCCTGTGGGCTATCCTTCTCCACCTTTCCAGTGCACACACAAAGAGGGTCACAGTGGACATCCTGGCATCAAGATCCAGAACAGTCACAACATATAATTTCCAGGTAAGCATCCACCTTATCCACTAGAGAAGAAGAGACCATTACTCAGCACTCATATCCTGTGGAGTCAAAGAAATAAAAATGGAATTGGAAACAGGGCCTCCCAAGCTGATGTAAAGAATAGTGTAATCCTTTAAGTAAAGAGTTTCAATAAGCAAGGGGCATAACAGAAAGAAGTGTAAAGATAAATCACAGACAAAAGGAGAAAATGAAAGTTGTTGATGCTGCTGCTTTGTGGTCTACAGAGATGGAGGAATTGTAACCAAGACTTAAGCTTTCCAAAGCAGTTAAATCATGATGAGCGAGGACAAGAACTGGCTAATTAGATAAAATAGATGCATCCAAAGTAGCAAAGCCCAACAAATATCTTCCCTGGAAGTCACTGAAGAACTACTAAGATTAATAATCTCAAAATTTAAAACCACCACATCTATGTAGATCAGAGAATTTTAATTGTATATGGAAAAAAGCAGTACCTTGTATTTAAAGAAAGAGGATGCAAGAAAATATGTACCATAACATGCAATACAGTCTATTGGCAAGTATCTTAAGGATAAAAAAGTAGCAAAAGACCCCACCAAGATCAACTAAATTGTTATCAAACTTATTCGTTTCCTAGTGAAATCAACTAAGAGGATAAGAAAAAGCATCATCTCTGATTTGCTTAGTATAGCTTTTACCACTGTCACATAGAGACTGTCTCATCCATATAAGAAAGCTGAAGAAATAGAATCATCATAAAACAGGATTATTACCAATATTTTCTAAATGACTTGAACGTTAGTTTTCAACACATCCCAAGGAAGCTTAGTTAGGAATGAAGAAGACTGTCCTGGGCTCTATTCAGTGTTCTCAACAAGGACTTGTGAGATGTAAAATAATGTTCTTACACTGATGGCACCAAGCTGTAAGTAGTTCAGAACGCTTCAGACACCTGGATCCCATTGAAATGATCACAAAAAACTATGGGGTGGACAGCAAAAATAGCAACATGAAATTGAAAGCCCTGAACTTCAAGAAATCACATCTACAGATACAGACTGGGAAACAACCTAAAGACAGACCTAAATAGTAAAATCAGTAAAATAAAGACACATTGTATTACAGATGGCAAATTCACCTCAAGAAACATTACTACTTTCAATATGATGACAGATAGAAAAACCTTGTCATTAACAAGTCAGCTAGAGGCAAACTTCTGACCAGCCTGGGATGCCACATTATGAAAAATTATAAACTAGAGAAGTCAAAGAAGAAAGAGTACTAATAAAAGTAGAAGGAACTTGCTTTATTCTAAAGAAACAAATAACTCCTCCAGTGGAACAACAATTTTAAGAGTGGACATAAATCAATACCAAATAAGAGAAAGAATCACCTTTACTGGCAACAGACTGTCATGGGGAGATCAAAATTTTCAAAAGACTCCACCAAAATCAAGTATTAAAACTTATGCCTACTACAGGTACCTAGGATGAAGGCAGGAACACTTACAGTATTTGTCTCATTAATTGCTGAAATTTCCCAGCCTACATTTTTATCAGCCATCTCAAGCTAAGAGCCATGACTCCATCCCTTGCTCAAGCTACTAACTTACCAAGGCTTTCACTGCTCCCCAAGCAGTCTAGGAAAAATATGCAGAAGTCAAAGTAATCATTATAGTTGCCATAAAACAGTTTGTGTAAATCCATTGGTACACAACAAATAGGTTAGTCATTATAAGTAGTTTACACTTGATTTGAAGGCAGCTTTTACTTGAACAGCAACAGTTTCCACACTGTGTCTTACCCATCATTTATAAAATTGTCTAAGGTGCACTTGCAGCATGGAGAAAAAATAAAAATACAGGTTATGAAATGGGAAAACAAAATGCAACTCACAATAAACAAACAAATAAATAAATATGATCACAAATAACATGTATGCTTTTTTCTCAACTCTAAAGCAAGCCAGGTAGTTCAAATCCATCTAAAGATGAAAGAACAACAACAAAGTATTTTTGTAACACACTGAAGAAATTAAAGACACTAAACTAGACATACATCAAGTTGAAAACAAGGAAAATAAAATACAAAGTCTAACAAGAAAGGAAAAGAGTGAAACAAATTACTTTTCATCCTAATTACAAGGAAAATTAACTACACGCTTACTTCTTGCATTCAGAACTGACCTTAGATGCACACTGTATACGTGGTTCTCCTTCAGGCTTTAACCCAATTATCTAAAAGAGAGTTAAAATAGTTACAGTCTCTTTCCCTTTCCAGTTTTACATACAGAATTTGAATTTTCCCCCCACTTAATATGAGAGAGTTCATACAGGGCACAAATCCGTCTAATGAAGCACAATTTCAGACTAGGACTATGATCTAAAACACTGTTAAGTTATAAGCTCAAATAGTTACAGTGGCTACAGAAAGGATTATTTTCTTATTTTATATTCTGCATGTAATATTAACAGCTAAAACCAGTTAGCAGTTCAAGTAATGTGTTGTATCACTGAAAAGTAAAACACTTACTCAGTAAAGTTTTCATCATCTTATGTAGTTTAGGAGTTACAGAATGTATTACATTCTAATTACATTTCAAGAACAAAGTAAAACACAATGTACCTGCACAGTGGTTTAGAATCTGTTACACAGAACAGGAGGCAAAAACTTGAGTTGTACTCCTTAAAACGGGGGGTTTGGATATTTTGATGCAAATAAAAATAAATACTTGTAAGTATTAGAATGCTTAAAAAGTTCATTCCATTTTACTCTCTGAAACACATGAATTGCTAGCTATTTCCATAAATTACACTCTTCCAGTGTAAATATCTTGAGAAGCAAACTAAGCACATATTTCAGTCCTTTTCTACAGTCATTTTTCATACAGTGGTAGTTGAGAGCACTTGTATAAGAATATATAATAAGTAAGTAGGCACTTACTCTATTTACTTTCACAAGCACGCAGGGAGTTCCTTTAGAATAGCCAAAGGTCTTATCTTCCTTTCCAGAGCACTGGCCAAGCTCAGAGAGGTTAAATCGACATGCCTTTTTAACAGCAACATCATTCTGATCAAAAATCCTTCCTGGTGTACAGTTTATGTTTTGGGATTGCTTTGAATCATCATATGCTATGAAACAGAAACAGCTTGTGAATCAGTGGTATAAAGCATACAAGTCACCAAAACCTGCAAAAGACTATTTAAGCATGTAATTTATAGTTGTTACTTATCTAGGAATTTTCTCAAAGGACTATTTTCAGATCACTATGTCTCGTATCCATCTTAACAAACACTTTTTCAAAGCCCATCAAGAAGTGGCACTCAATGGAAGAATAAATAGAGCACTACAGAAGAAATAATGCTGTCCTGCTTTTCAAATCATATAATTAATCAAAACTTTATTGATTTCTGTACATAAACTAACTCTAATTATGTATTCTAAGCTAATAATGTATTAAAATATAAACATTCCATTTTTTACCTGGAAACAAAACCAGTTTTCCCTTTGCACGTTTCCTTTATAAGGGAAAACTTCAAGTATTTCAAGGACTAATAATAAACTGTTTCTACATATACATCAGGTTGTACAACTTACATTATACTAAGACCCCAAATTGTTTCTCACTTCCTTGTGTACACAGTAGAAGTACACAGATCACATCATCACAAACGCCCAGCTATTCACATTTAACATGTTCTGTGATTTTGTTCCCCTCTCTTACGCTCTGCCCCCAGTTAAGCATAAACACAGTAAAATGGGAAAATTCATCCTTAAAGGGAGAGTCCAAAACCCACTGAACTGCAGGAGAGGCAAGTAATCATGAAATGCAGCATCCCTCCCAGGAACCCTTGGCAGAGCTCTGAAAGAAAAGCCTGCTCATGGAAGCTTTTAGTAGGCACCAGAACTCCAAATACAGACAGATTTAAGTATGTAGCTTGTGTAGCTAACAGAGCAACTCATGAGCACAGGTGAGATTTTACAGCACCTCCTCAATTTACAGCACCTCCTCACTTTAGACTGATTTGTGTATTACTAGATTAAGTGTACATATAGGCACATATATAAAATAACCTATGACTTAAACTAGTGATTTTGCCATCCTTCAGTCTTGGCCTGTGTCACCTTCTCTCCGTATTCTAAATTCAATGTTTTAATACTTTTGCTTGTAAATACTGTGTGCCAGGGTGAAAGTTAATAAATTGCAATTAATTTAATCTTTGTGTGCCTCATTTTTTAAACAGGCAAACAAGTTCTTACGAATAAACGATTCTCACTTAGTTACTAAACCAATTAGATGAAGACTAAGATCAGTTAAGTCTTGATAAACATTGCCTCCAAATAAATGACCTGTGTAATTTTACACTGAATTCTTTTAGCATATGTAATTTCTGTATCTTGTAGCATTTAAATAACCATGTTGCCGAAACACTGTATAAGGACCCAAAATTCTCCGCTATTCCTCATGCCCAGGCTTCCTGTCTAATACTGGTATTTATACCTACCTTTTTCTGTAATGTGTATACTTTAATAACTCACATGTCTAGAGTAAGTTTGAACTTGAACCAGCCTCCATTAGCAACTGGTAACTACAAGCAAAAAAGGAAACTAATGCACTCAACATTAAGACTCCTGAATTACTTGGGCAGTTGCAGTAATTTACTTACATTCAAGGAATTTTCTAAGTGTAGCAACGTATTCTGCGTATGACTGGGCGTCACTCTTGTTAAAGTAAAATTCCAGTGCAGTGTCTGGCTTTGGTGAAATCATAAGTCCTTAAAAAGAAAAAGTGAAAGTAAAGAACTGAACAACCTCTCTTCCCTCCACCACTTTAATCAACTAAAAAAATCATATCCATAAATTGGAAAATACCTATCTGTAAAAAACCATCAAGGCTACCCCTATATTCCACAGTACTGTAAGAGAGTTTGTGTTTGAAGCCAGTTATCAAAATCATCATTACATGAATACTTAAATTCAATCCACATAACTGTAATTCACAAACCAAACCCAACTGATTAGAAATAGCAAAATCAGCAACTTAATCACTTTCAATCAAAGAATTACACTGATTCATGTCCCAATTTCCATATTTAGCAAATGAACTTAATAATTGAAAAAATACCCCACACCACACCCAGAAAACCTCCAGTTAAAGCTATCCTTCAAAGATTTAGGTAATATACAGTGAGGCTGCGATTGTATTTATCTCAGAAACCCGCAAGAAACAAACTATTTTTTAAAAATTCATAATACATAAAGATGGCTTGAACGATTGCTCAATCAAAACAGACAAGCCAGGTTAGCTGCTAGTCCTTTCCTCCTTCTCCTCGAACAGAAAGTTTAGATGCCATCTGTTAATGGAAAATACAAGAAACTTTATTAAGGGTATGCCTTAGTCAGGCTGTGGTAACTATGAACACTTGAGCTGCCTTCCAGACTGCTATGACCTGACACTGCAACAGTCAGGGTTCCCACATGTGCTCAGTGCTGGCCTCTGGCTGGCTTTATCCAGCTGCTGGCTGCAGGTATAGCAACAGGAACTACCTACAGCCAGGGAGCCAGGACAAAGAGGAGAAACAAAGACATAGATAACTAAATGCTCAAGTCCAGCCTTGTGTTGAAGGATGAAAAATGCAGACACTGACATGGAGTATGGGTCCTTGATAGAGCTGAACTGTTCTTCCCAGGATATCGGTAAAGAAAAGTACGAAGTTAAATCTTAGGCTTTTTTTTTTTTTGTAGTAGTAGTAGGTGAAAGCAAAAGGCATACTCTACTAAGAAATTCAGCCCTGTACCATCAGGAGTTGTCACTAACAGGGATACCCAATGCTTCTGTTATTCACCACAGCTTCAGTAACAGATGAAACAGCACTACACCACCAGATACTGCAGAAGAGACTGAATCTTCAAAAAAGGGCATTATGATTGCTTCATTCACACTACCTTAGGGTAACTCTTAGTACAAATAATTAGAATAGATAAAACCCCTGCAGTTGTGATTAACGGGTGAATAGCCATGCATCTGTCTCTTCAAGTATAGCTGAGAACTGATAACCAACAACGTATTTTTTACCAGATTAGTTTTCTTCTAAGTTAGAATATTAAAATGGTTTGAACTATGTCAAATTTGGCATAAGGGAAGAAGCTGCAATTACAGCAGCAGCTTAGGCTGCCACGTAGCTTCCCATCCTCTGGCAAAACCAATTAAAACCTAGACTCCCAAATTAATAAAATTTAAGGAACAAAACAAAACTCATCTCCCAGAATTATAAATAAATAAATAAAATTAGGCCTTGTTTATACAAAAGAAATATTTGAGAAGATAAGACCACAGTGGGAAGAGTTCTCTTGATATCAGATTCTTAAGTCATTACTGTAGTTAGTCAATCGCAGTAAGCTTTTGGAAAGCATATAAAAAGTACAATTAAGCAGCCCAGATCTATTAAGAATTCACCTACAGAAATGGCCAAGCTTCTCATCCAAAGGCAGAAACTATTACAAAGACTTGAAATTTGGAAATAATAATACCAGAAATTTATCACAGACAAATATCTTTTTAAATTCTAAAGAAAACTGATATCATTTAATGCCTTTTTTACTCTACCTTTTTTATAGGATTGCAAATATATCATAAAGCCTCCTTTCTGCGTTAGCAGCAGTTAAATTATTTCCAGGCAAGCCATAACTAAATGCCTTTATGACTGAGAGTCCATATAAAACTACAAATAACATTTCTGATTGCAAATTACTTTGCACCATTACAGTCATCATCTGAGCTCCATGCTGAACTGGCATTCAACAAAATGAAAGATAATTAGTAACAGGGCTGAAAAAATGCTGAAGGGGTTTTACACACTAAGGTAGCTTGAGGGAGAAGAGATTGTTATTATCTATAGAATTATACTGTAAATGAAAGATTTAAATGCCATTTTTCAAAGTAAATATGACGACCTAAACTAGTACCTAAACTAGCCATCAATGAACAAAACATTATTTTTAAGGGACTTATTGCTTCAGGGAAACTTCACAAACATCCTAAGAGGAAGGAACTACTCCAATTCCAGTAGATCACAGTACGCCTAGAGACTATGGTGTAAATTCTACAGAAAAAGCTACTTGAAGGACTGATGCATAGACTGTGAGACAAAGGATTTGAGCTCTTCTAGAGTAAGAAAATTAGCAGCCTCAACACAGGATCACACCTAGGATTTTAACAGATTACATATTCCTACAATTCCAAGAAGGATTTAAAAAAAAAACCCACATTTTAAAATCAACTGGATTTGATTGGTAATATTATATCCCAGTGAAAAATGCAAGTCAAATATCAATTATGAAATCAAGTGTGAGATTTCCAAGTATGCTTAACACCAGAGTAAAGCCTTTGACCTACGCCATCCAGGTTGTGTGTGGATAATTTTTTTTTATAATTTAAAGTTTTACAGCCAGGAACATGACATGTTTCACTGCAAGTGAAAAACGACAGAGTTAAAGAGAAACATTAAAACACAAATAGGCAATTTTATTAACGTTCATGTATGAGTATTAAAGACAACTAAAAAAAATCATTCAGAAATGTTATGGGAATTCTTACATTAAAAACTAATTGTGGCATACGTACTTTTTTAAGCAAACATCCTTTATGACTTATTTAAAAGCAGTTATCCCCTGAACTACAAGAGGCACAAGAGAAAAACATGTCACTCAAGCCCAGTATTAAGGCAGTTACCCATGGCACCCTCCACTACCAAGGTTCTGACTACCACAAAGAAAATGGGGAGAAATGGCCAACTAAGCCACCTTCATTTTCACCCCTTTTTTTTTTTACATAAAGCAGATTGTCAATTATGATGATGATATTATTAACAATAATTATTATCATTTCCAACCTTTAGCCCATTCTTAGCCATAAAAAAAAAAAACCAAAAACAACAGCATAAATCCTCAAAAATCCCTTATAAGAGGACATTTGCTTAAGGTCTGAACACTACATCAGAATAAATTCTGTTCCGAATCTAGAGACATTTATCATATTGGCCCAACTGCATCTTGCTCATGTTAAGAACATATATCATGTGTTGATGCAGCTGCAAGATGCTGGTCAATTTTAAGAGTCTGAAGTTGAAAAAAAAGGAAAAGCATTTTAAAAAATACTGTCCTCTAACTTCTACCAAAACATTAATGTTGCATAGCCATCTAGTTTTGTTGTGTTTTAAACATAAATTTGGTCCCTAAGCCAAGTTGTTCTAAAATTTGAGATACCAGATTTTCAGGTGGCCCAATCATTGAAGTTGCACATACAGGTCAAATACTAACACATTTTCCAGAAACAGTAACTAGAAAACAGTTATCTTTTTGGTGTAGTTGAACTATGAGAAGCATCTTTCAAATCTTTCGGAGTCAAAATCTTTATTTTTTTCCAGTATGAAGATACAGCAAAATAGCGCCTATAATGGCAGACTTTTTTGATATATTTAAACTCATATCTAAAAAAAAATAAAAAAGGAAAAAAAAAGGGGAAAAAATTAAGGAGAGGAGGGGGGAATCAAACCCAGTACCTTATTATTCATTCTTATTTATGAAGTGTTTTTTTTCCTGTCACATATAGCTCCTTGAACCAGCAGCCAACAGTGGGGCTAGATGGGCATGTACACAAAGGAGCACCAGTTCCAGGAAACAAGACACAACTTTTAGTGGCAGCTACGTGTTACGTGGACTTAGCTTCATCAGAAGCCCCACCACAGGACTCTCTCCCTTCAGTGGATTCCTACATAATACGTCATCAACCCGCAGAATCCACAGCCATTTCACATTGGTTGAAAGCTATCCAATACTATAATGAAAACTCTGGAAATGACTTCACATCATAGCCCTTACACACTCTTGAGCCTATCACCCTCATAGTACAGCCTTCCTGCACTTCCTTCAAAGTATGTAAAACTAATCATAAGTGGCCTTCCACCTGATCCAAGACAACTGGTTTATATTTTCTTTAAAGCAGTATGATTAAATGATAATCCCACTTATACAACAGCATGTTGTGTGGATGCACAGGTAAAATTACAGTCTACATATATGACACGTTCAACTGAAAAAGAACTTAAGAGAAAAAACAGCAAACGTTAGCACATATGCATAAAAAGCTGCTGACTGAATGACAAGTTTTACTCTTTGAAGCCTGTAAGTAGTTAATAATAATCACAGGCAGTTCATAATTTAAGCAAACTCTCAGCTGAAACTTAGCTGTTAAACAAGACAGGATTTTTTGAAAAAATAAATACACTCTTACCTGGACTGGAAATCCGGTCACGGTATTTTGGTATATCATTGCTCAGTGTCTGAAGCATAACCCACATCGTGAATGTGAAGAGTGCTGCTAGGAAGCCATAAAATACCAGATAGAACAGCAAGATCAAACCTGTAAACAAAAAGCTAAAATTACTATTTTAGTTTCAGCTAATTCCATTACCTATTTTGAAAATCAAAATGGGAAATAAGCAATACGTTTGGTTTTGCCTTCCTGCCCTCCCAGCCCCTTCCCACTCCTAATGGTAGCTGTAAATCAATATGCCTCTAGCACACATATGTATTGCACAGTAACAAATAATGCATTCAAAACTATTTTATTCATACTTTTTGGCTCTTAAAATTTAGAAGGCATTTTGAAATCTTTAAGTGAAAAGCATTAAAAACTGTCTTTGAGCTATACAGGAAAGTTGACAAAGATGACTCCACAGCCCATTAGAGAAAGAAGAGTTTCCTTTGTTTAATGGAATTATAGTTTTGTATCTGGAAAAGAAGGGGTCATAGGGAAGACAAAAGAATGGAGTGAAAAGATGAAATTATTACGCTGGATCCGTAACAGGTCAGAAGTGATTGGTGCTTTAATAACATAGTTGATATTTGACAGAGCTCCACACAGAGCATTCATTCACACATACGTCCTCCTACAAGAGACTTCTCAACCTGAAAATGTTTTCTGCTGCATAGTTTTTAAAGTAGACTAATCCTTCTGTTCAGACTTAGCGGAAGACTTTGCCTAACACAACCACCTGTTTTATCAATCTACCTCAAGGACCTGGATACATTTCTGGAATTTACCAACTACACAGATGGTACTAGCTTCAACTTGAAAGTTACCTAAAGAAGAGACCTTCAAAATCTGAGGAAATTGCCTCAAAGGAACAGCCTATTGCGACACTGTACCTCTCACTTATCTGCAACAAATTGCTACGGAGGAAGGCTACTTCAGAAAACAGCTTGGAAACTTCCTGTGATTGTCTATTTTTTCCCTGTTCTCTCCCTACTCCTCACCCCTCTTTTCATGATGCATGCATAGACTTGCACTCTGGAGATACAGATCAGTTGTTTTACTGAAAAGACAAGGTAACAGACAGGCCAAAGTTAAAATCTTACTTTGGAGATGACAGTACTAGAACTCAGCTGCAGAGGTATGATGCATAACCCTAATTTTAAAGCTTTTTAGAATCTGGGACAGCTCAACTAATTTAGTAACTAAGTTTTCAAACAAGGTTTTGCATTCTTGTATTATTTGGGGGTTTTTTTGACCCTCATGGACCCATGTTAGTGTATTTCATTAAAACAAAAAATTAACAGCATACTGTTTCCTGTTTTCAGAACTTCTGAGGTTATGTATTGATGATTACTATTAGAGTACATTTTAAAAATTATGTTTACCTGAAGCCAGTTCACAACTAAAGATGAAACATATGTACTATATGGATGGAAGCCTAAAAGACATATAAGGTACAATGGCAATTGTTTTAATGATCAAGTATACAGTACTAATATAAAAAAAAGCATGTGATTCTCTTTTAAAGCTGAACACTTGAGACTTAAGTACACATGCTCAGACATTGTCAAAAAGAATGTGAGAAAGGCATATTCAAAACCTTTCTAATTCAAAAGCATTGAACAATGATGCAAATTCAAGTTTTATGAAACATTCTAACTATAAGGCTGCTATCAGGAAGCCAAAGAGATGTAACTCAGGTCAAGAAAAGCACATCAAAACCATTATGCAACATTCTACCACTGACACTTGATTATATAAGAGAGCCAAGTACAGTGTTTTTCATCCTTACATAGGAAAGGAAAAATCAAAAGCAAAAATGATTGTACCCCAGTGATGTGGACAGTTCACTGCAAGATGACAGGAGGAAGCCTGACCTCTGGCTCCTGTCCCAGAAACTATGCTCATATTTTGCTCTGAAATATTTCCTAGTGTACTACAACCCCCAGTAATCCACAACTGCTAGAGTCAAGTACCTGTATTACTTCTCCCAGAAGAATTCAGTGTATAAGTATTAAAATAATGAGATGGTACCCAAATTATCTTTACCATAAGCTCTCTGCAGCAACCAGCTGAATGTTACTGGATTTGGTTGCATTTTAGCTTTGTTTCACATGTTGAGAAAGTTACTTATGAATATGCAACAATTTGAAAGCACTCAGCTATTTAAAATACATTTGGGAACCACTGAGATGTAAGATACAAAATGGTGATTAGAAGTAGCAAAGTACCTGAACACAAGAACAAGCTTAGTATATAATAAACAAGACAGCTAGACCTCTATTATAAACTATTTCTAAGGTTATTTAGAAGCTATTTAGAAGCTGAAAAAGCAAATAAAAACAAACAGTAGAAATCCTCATCAAAAAAGCCACTGCAGAAGTTGCATTTGTATTTGGCATACCAGCCATTTGCAAATTGCAAATCAGATGCAAAAAGGAACAATGATCCAAAATACAATGGGTGTTAATCAGAAGGTATCACAGAAACAAATGAACTCCCTTACAAAACTTACGGTCAGCTCTCACCTTGATCCCTACAAGTTAATCAATTATTGTCTACACTTTCATGAAGCTATTTTAAAAGTACACTTTCTATCAAGTGACCAAGACATGCATTGATCAGTTGCAATGGAACAAAAGAGTTTGACATGTAAAACAGGACAAGCACCTTCTGTGGCAATTAGCATAAAAACAAAGGGAAAACTTTTTCATTTAGCTATTTGAGAATGCATCTGTATTTTAAGTACAAAAATACGATGTTGACTTACCAGGTAAAAATAAAAAAATAAAAAAAATCCCTGCCTGCTGATGGGCATCACAGCCCCACAGTGGTGCACTTCTAAGCAGACATGGCCCTAGATATAGTACTGCTTTGGGCTAATATTACTGTAACATCTGCAATATTGGCCTTGGACCTCATTTTGAAGAGCTAATCTGAGCCTGCTGCACCTCTGTTCCTTTACTCCCCAAATCAAGGAGATGTGGCTACCTACCTACACAGCCTCTCTACCCCAGCAGAGAAGTGGGCTCCGGGGCTCCTCCTCTCCTGCCAAGAGCTGCAGGGTGGCAGAACCTGGGGAGGCCTCATGACCAGAGGAAATGCCAGTAGAGGGGAAAACAAGAGGGACTCCAATGTCGCTGGGGAAAACAAAAGGGACCCCAATGTCTGGTGGAGACTGCCCTGTGAACAGCCCCTTATGGAGTCACAGAATCACAGAACTGCTAGGGTTAAAATGGACTTCTGGCAATCATCTAGTCCAACCCCCTCTCCCTCCCAGCAACATCCTATCCACCAGGGCTGCAGCAGTAACACGGAAGACTTTTTCTATTCACAGTCCTGAAACCCCATTAACATCTCCCAGTCCAGCAAAGTGTGCATGTGCATACATACACACAGAGGTTATTTTTACTTTTCATTTTAACTATGTTTGTAAATGCACTGAAGAACACCGACTATTAACCTACCCGATTTATACTCCTTTGCCACACTAAAAAGGAAAAAAACAAAAAAAAAAACCCAACAACAAAAAAAAACCCTCCTCTGCAATTTCCAACAGCTCCAAGCTGAGTAAGCTGCTCTTTGTGAGCCTATTAGTATCAATTATCCTAAGCTAATCACAGTGGACAAGCCATAACCTGTCAAGAAGGTCTGCCAAAATAATTTCACATAACACTGTATTTCTTGTGAGGAAACAAGATGTACTCAAATAACAGTGGAAAACTATCCTTCACAGTTTCTCCAAGGAAAGTACAGCTACCACATCCAGTATACAATTCAATTCAGTTGCTGCAGATGACCTTGCTACACCAAACCCTTGAAGTCTCTCAGCCTTTGACACTAAAAAAGAAAACTGCCAAAACCAAAATTCTGCATTACAATTTACCAAGTCGATTTTTTTGTTTTGCTTTGGTTTGCAGGTTTCTTTTTCATTGGGTTTTTCTGGGGTTTTCGTTGGTTGTTTTTGTTGTTTTTTTTTTTCCCCAAGGCATCACAGTACCAAAGCCCCTTCATATCCTAACCACACAGAAAACCAACAGTCAAATCTGGAAAACTGCTATTTCTGAACCAACATGTTGGTGCCATCATTAGTCTGCCATTAATTTACAGGGATTAAACACTTCTCCACTATGAAAATTAGAATTTCTGACTCCGGTGAATGCAAGATATCACATACCTAGCCATTACTTCCACGATGAATACAAGCTTTCCAGACTTTACATGATAAAAGTGACAAAAAAGCATGTCAATCTGGCATAAACCAGATTGGCGTATATACCTATATGTAATACATAGGTAGATATACACAAGTATGAACATAAACATTCTCACAGCAGACATGGAAGTAACTGTTCAACACTACCTGCAACAATGAAAACTATGGTTCCTGCATGGATCCTATCATCTACATGATCATTCTTCAGCACCTTTAACTAGGGGGATTTAAACACTTAAGTAATGTTACTAGAGGCTACCACTAATGCCAGCAACACCAAGGACTTTTGGTTCACCTGCAGATGGATTTCCTTGCCTTAAGCTAATATAACTATGCGTGTTAGAGAATCGCCAACATTTCAACTTTATTCCCTAGCCACTTAAGAATTATTGTTTTCCAAATTTGGGGGATGTTACGGGAAGGGAGAGGAAGAAAGAGGGAAGGAAGACATCAGGAAAAAATAAATAAAACTTTGGTCCTATGTTACAGTTTATTTCACAGAAAGCCAGGGATCCACATGTAACATGCTGAACACTTCAGGAGACAATGAAAATTGTCTAGTGCAACACTTCCAAAGAATCACAAAAGCCAGTGCTTAATGTCATGACGAAGCACTTACAACATACAAAAAACCCCAACCCAACAAATCCCCTATATATCCTTACTGTACCACCAGAGCAACAAGAGAAGGCAAGCTTGCTTTCTTCACAGATCTGTGCCATGGAACATAAAATATTCTACCGATTTCTCAAATATTCATTTCTGCTGATAGGCAGTATAATGGAAAAGTTTAGTAAGATTTTGACTGCAGTCAAATTCCTGGCTGTGCAGGAATGTCCATCTGCCACAATAAAAAAAAAAAAAAAAAGAAAAGAGCACTGTCTCTCTCCAATTCACAACCTGGATATGTAAGTACTTCTACTGCAGTCACAGACAGCGATGTCAGAATGTTTAATATTACACTGCTTGTGAAGAAAGCTAAATGACTACAAAACCCTGCTTAAAACACTGATAACAAACACAGAAGAACCAAGCCAGAAAAGCAGTTAAAACTTTCACAGCACTTTATGGTCCCAGCAACAACTCAGTGGAGAAGAAACAGAAGCAAAACTGGATCTTTTGTTACAATGACTGACAAGACCATATATTTACTGACTTATGAAAAACTCTCCTAAAAACAAGGTGTCAGGCTTTGTTGATGTTGCTTGGCTTTGTTTTGTTGGCTTTTTTTTGTGGGTTTTTTTTTTTGGTCTGTTGTTTGTTTTGGGTTTTTTTGCCTTTGTTTGTTTGCTCATTTGTTTAAATTCCAGCACATATTTGTGCATTGGATACATCTGAGCATTCAAAAGAATATTCAGTAGGTCTGAAATCCTGCGTACTTCAAGACAATTCCACCTCTATCTACCTTGAACACGTTAACACAACTAGCTTTACAGAAGGGCTTAAACAGGCTTGACATGACACCTGGTGTGATCACAAATGAAGTACTACTAGATTCTGTATTGCCTATTGGTTTTTTTTGGCACATATTATTTTTCTATAATCTTACTGTCTATCTTGTAAGATTTTGCATGCTTTTGAGTGTACAGTGAGCATCCCATAAAAATACTTTCATGATGATCTCGCTCTGTTCTTGCTATAATTCTAGGCAGACACAGCACCTTGCCATTACAGGTAGAGCCAAACACTAATCCTTTTAATTATAGGAAGGCACCACATGGCAGCCTTCCAAGTACTCTTTTCTTTTCCCTACCTGATAAACCCTGTGTTTATCAGTACCCCAGGACTGATCCTCCTTCCCACCACCTCTGGGAAGACTATTAGCACCCTTTATGCCTTGTTGCTGAGAACACCACCAACAAAAGTCATCGTTTTTTCCAGTATCTCCTCTTTAATACAACTAATGATTATGGCAGTTAATTAAAAATATACAGTGGTTGGGGAAGGGTGTTCATTTTGGATGGGGAAGGTGTTCTGATTTATGAGAGATGCAAACTGAATTATCCCTCAAGTCTGTGAAAAGTAAAGTAAAAATCCCTCATTTTTTTTACAGCAAGAGGAGTCTTGGTACAAGGGGTTTTACCAAATTCTAAAAGGTAACATACCTAATCCTAATGTAGGAATGGCAGATGAGTACTCCAGTGTGACAGCACTCATATTCACAGAGAATCACTGCCTTGCAGTTATAATTTACATAAGCCCCCAGGACCGTCTCAGTCTAAAGCAAAACATGCATATACTGTGACTAATTATTTAACAGCTCCTCTACTGCTTCTGTCCTATTTCTGTGAAGAAGCTGTCTTGAGACAAGAGAAATATGCATGGAAGAATCAGAGCCAATCGAATTCTTATCATGCTGCCCCTGGAGACACCATAGCCCAGCAGACTCGCAACCAGAGCTCTCCTCTCTACCTCCCCACCTTTCAGTGGGGAGACTGGCAACAGAAGAGGAATAGTCATTGAGACTGCTCTAATCCCACAGCAGTACTGCAGAAGTGAGACCAAACCCTGCATATTCTTCTATGCCAACAGAGACACTCAATAAGTGTTCTGCAATCAAAAAAAATAAAAATCAAACAGAAAGCAACACACCACCTCCCAGAACAGTCGGAGACCATAATTTACTTTAGTTAAACTAAATAAGCCAAATATGTTAATCACAAAATGCCATGATAAATACTGTCAAAAAAACACACTGACAACTTACAGTGCTGCTGAACAGTTATCTTTTTATGTCCAGCCTAAGGAAAAGGTATATAGCACCAACTACATTACAACTAGCTAAACCACTTAAGAAAACTTATTAATGAAGTAGAACTACTCAAACTGCTATCTAAGCCTGTACACAGAATCACAGAATCATTAGGGTTGGAGAGCACAAATTTTCCCAATATGGAAAAACATCATCAAGGGAGCTGGCTGTTGAAACTCAGTTACCAACTAAGTCCTATCAGTTCCAAGTATTGGCTCTGGACTAGCACAGACTGGTAACATTGTAAGGTGACATATCCTACTAGATAGGTTTAAAACAGAGAAGGTTGTTTCATCTCCACATTTTAAAAGAAGTGAAAAGCTATTTCTAACATGCCCACAGTCTCTGCACTCATCAGATTCATGACAAACAGACTTCTGCAATCCATACACCCATTCACCCAGCCCACGCACTTGAGGAAACCTGTCTCTACAGAAAATCACTGGAGAACAGCACAGTGGAAATTTCCTCTCCTTTGCTATTCAACTGGCAGAGTAGCTCACAAGCTCCTATTTCCATCTGAATGGAGAAGAACTCATGTCAGAGCTAGGGCCCTCTCTTGACAGGCCGGGAGACATTGGCACAGTGAAGAAAGCACACCCCATGCATAGTCTGCTTAAGGCTCCTCCTATTTCAACATTAGTATTCATTGAGATTGTGTCAGGGCCAAGGATGTATCGGCTTGTTCCTTTATGCCACGCTGAGATTCTTGTTGGTTTTGTAAGCACAACTGTTAAGTATCCCAACTACATCCAAGTTTTGGGAGGAGACGCTACATTTTCTGAAGTCAGTAAATATGTCTCACGAGGACTGAAGAAACATCCTAATATTAAGCATTTATACAACTGTTTAATATAAGAAAACATACTCAGAAAAATCCAAATATTTTTATTGGAAGCAACAAGATTATGATAACATGCTTTACAGCTCAGAGGAAAGCAATGGGAAGACTACCTGAAAATAGGAAAACAAACACTGCCTTCACAAGCTTTACTGGAGAACCTTCACTTACAAGCTTCACTTCAGAAAAACAGAAGGCCCAGAAGCCTTTCATTGGAATAAATTTAGCACGATGACGCACGACGACACACAATGATCAGTCTTGTAGATTATCTGGAACTGGGGCTCAAACTTTCGGGGTTTTTTGGTTGTTTTGGGTGGGGTTTTTTTGCTTTCCTTCTCTGATCCGCCGCTACCGTCTAGAAGTACAAAGGCAATTCGCGCTCATTCATTCTCGATTTCCTGCGATGCTGGGAAGCGCGGGGGGTGGGGGTACGAAACGGATGGAGAAGAGGAGCTGCACTGATACGCACGCAGGCTGCCATCGACCGGCAGAGATAAGCGCGGCGCGGGCGCCTGCCCCACACCTCCACGGCGGAAGCCCGTCACCGCGGCGGCCCCGGAGTCCCCCCCCGGAGAGCCCCCCTCCCCCCCATCCCTCGGCGGATCGCGGAGGAGGAGCCTGCGGCCCAGCGCGCTGCATTTGCGTACTGAGGCGGGAGGGTGAGTCAGCTCGGGACGCGCTCCCGCAAACTGCTTTTCCTCCCCCGGTCCCCACCTGCTCCGCGCGGCGCTGCCGCCCTCCCGCTGCCACAGCACCGAGCTATTTTTAGACTGGCGGGCGGCGGCGGTTGCAAGCGTTGCCGGGGCGCGTGCGCCGCGGCCTCGCGAGCTGCCTCACCTGGCCGCCGCGGCCCCCGCATCCCCCGTGGGCCCTGCTGCTGCAGCTGCCCGTCCCCCGACCCGGGCCTCGCCTCCGTCCGCTGCTTCCCCTCGCCTTCGCCGGCGGCCCCGGGGCGGCTCGCCGCGCGCCCTTTCCTGCCCGCGAGAGCCCTTACCCCAGCTCTTCGCCGTGCGCCCCAGAAACTCGCCGCTGTTGGGGTTGTAGATGAACTGCCGCCACTCGGTCATGCTCTGGCGGAAGGGCTTCTTCGTTTCCTTAGACATGACGAGGCGAGAAGCGGCTGCGTCGCACTCCGCGGCGGCAGAGCCTCCCAGGCACACAGAGCCGCGCCGACCGCCCGCTCCCAACTGCTAAGTAGCCGCCGGCGGGGTAGCGCTCGCGCAGGGACCTAGCCTCCCCACCTCCGCGCGAGGCGGGACCCTCCGCGACATCATTCCGCCCTCGCCAGCCAATCCCGGCCCGCCGCGCGCCTGCCCCCTGGCGGACAGCGGTCGCGCCACTGCGAAGCGGGGGCCTGCTGGCACGCGGCCCTGCGCGCGGCGGTGGTTGTGGCTGGGGGAGCGCAGGGGCTGCGGGCACCCGCCGGTCTCACTGCCCCCCCCACGCGGGGAAGCGGCGGTTGGGGGTGGGAGCAGGGCACAGGGGAACGGCTCCGGCGCCTTGACGGCGTTTCTGAAATGCTTGGAGCCGGCAGCGTGCGCCTGCGGCCGGCGGAGGCGAGACATCGCCATCTCTGGAGAGAGAGAGGGAGGGAGAGGAGAGGTGCCGCTGCGCACATCGCCCCCTAAATGGCACCTGCGCTCCCCCCTCTACGCCCCCGATCCGCCGGTCCGGCCTGAGCACAGCTCGGCCCGGGGGTCTCGCCTCAGTGCGGCGGGAGCCTACCGGCTGAGTGCCCCCAGCACTGCAATAGTTAGTCTGCGATACCGTTGCGCGCTTGCCGCGCTGACCGGGGGGTGCCGGCGCAGTCGGGGAGGTGATGCCCCGCAGCAGCTGTGACTGAAGCACAACCGTATTAAAAGCGCACCAGAAGACAGAATGGTTAGCAAGTGTTAATTCCCATCTCGGAACTCCCTGTAATTGTGCCACCGTGCTGAAGCCCCTGGTAACACGCATGGGTAACAGTTCCGTAAGGGTATTGAGAACATGACTTGTTTGAGCATAAGACCTGAAAAACTCATTTTCTATCACACTTGCAGAGGTCAAAGTAAGACCAAAAAGACCACATCATTCTCCATCTGTCGGTCTGACAGAGAGGAACAGTCTCCATTTATTCTCTGGTATGGATCAAGAGCTTATTCCCTTAAAGCCCCTCTCTCCAACACTAAACAGAGCAGCGCCAGCCTCTGCACATCAGCAGCCCTTGTGGGTCAGCTCTGACGTATTCACCGTCATATATTGCTCAGCCAATGTAAAAAATGAACCATTAATTAGGGACTTTGCAAAACTCAAGTGTAACAGCTACTACATCAAAGCAGTTCTTAAAATAGCCACTAAATAAGCCCGAGACCAAACCTGAGTGAAAAAGCTAAAACAATCTACATCTTAAAAACATAAAAGCAACAATACAAGGGATATTTCAAACAAGAGGAATTAACTATTTATCAGCATGGTTAGTTTAAATCTTTATGATGGTTGCAGCATTATTCATGCCAGACAGCAGTAAATGTGAAGCATAAAATAGAATAAACCTATTTTCCTCCTGAATGTCTGATTCCAATAGCCTCTTCTGTTACAGTGCATCTTTTAAATCATTCTATTTTCTCTAAAATTACATCAGAAAATGTCACTCGCTCATTACTGTGTCACATCAGTCAGCTAATATATTCCATTTCAGGCCTAAAATAAGCTATCTCCATGTTTCTTTATTCTTCTAAATGTCACCAAGAAAAACACTGCATGTCACTCATTTCTAGCAACTGCTTTGCTGAATTATTTTTCCCAGTTTATCCAAATAGGTTCCCTCCACAGTTAAGGAGTAATAGGTCAGCAAAATGTGCCTATAGCCATCTTTTTGGATGGGGCGCCATACTGATTCAACATTAAAGTTTACTAGATGCAAGAGTTAATACAGATAAAAAAATCAGATTGCCTCCAAGGAACAACCATTCCCTATGTTATGCAATGAAATGTCAACATTTAAACATATTCATATTTTTAAAACATCAAAGGAGATGTCAATCAAAGTATTAGACGAACTAGTATTATTCAGCAACCACTGTAACTCTTCAGTCTGCTCATCATAAAACACAGGAATCTTTTTGTGCTCGGCTTTAGTGAGTCCAGAGGCTCAGTTTGACTACCGTAACTGTTACACTAGTTTCCAAAATCAGTGATTTCAGACAGCTGAGCCTGACTTTGATAGAGTGTGGATCATCATCCCCACTGAAAATCAAACATTTCCAGGTTGCAAAAGAGTAAATATTTTAACTCATGAACATAGAAAACCATTGGCTAGACACTGCTCACAGGTAAAAAAATGGAAAGGTCCATCCATATTCAGTTAATAAAGAGCAATGAATGCCAACAGCATGATCTGCTATAGGATTAGCTGCAATTACAGTGCAGTATTTGACAGCCAACATCCCTTCCCAACCTGCATTCCTTTTAACGCAGGACGTTGTCAGTACACAGTGCAGGCCAGCAGCTCCCTTGGGACTGGGATCCACAGGGATCCCTCAGGGTGAGTGCAGCAGGACATGGCCAGCAGAGCCCATCCCACTGCCCCCAGCTAGGGAATGGGGCAGGCCTGGGGGGCAGACAAGAGCCCATGCCTGGACCTGAGCCCTGGAGCCAGGGTCCAAATCGGCAGGAACCATGTCCAGGCGTAGGCATAGCCAGGGCTGGAGACACATATCTGGTGATGCCCAGTCAAGCAAAATGGGGCTCCAGGACCATGCAGGGCAAGAGCGCAGTCAGACTGGTCAGGGCAATTAATGCCGATTTAGTGCACTCAGGGCCCTCATGAGCAGGAACAAACATCTTCACATTTTTAAATAATTAAATGTTTGGCTGATAAAACTAATCACAGTTCCATTAGAAACTTGGATTTCTCTAAGCTATTGATTTAGTGCCACAAGACGTTTTGATTCAAAACACCTGATGAACACAGAAATAACTTGCCTAAAAACTGGCCCCATGACATTTCAAAATGTAATTGTCAGTGGCAAGATGTCAGTGAGTCAATGTGTTTCCAGTGGCATCCTTCAAGATGCTGATTCCTAAGCTGAAGGTATTTTGTGTTGGCAGTCTAGGGGGTTGTATAAAGTCTTTGGTGGTGATATTTAGAAACGATAGAATGACTGATGTGTTCATTTGTTCAGCAAAGCATACACAATGCTATGGCAAAAAGAACTAATTCAATCCAGTGTGCATAAGAACTGCTCTTCTACAAAGAAGGTCTCTGTGTGCACACTGGTGAAGAAACGCTACAAAAAACTCTGCATCCACTTTTGATGTTTACACTAGCGGGAACATATAAATATTAGTGATAGTTCATAAGAGTACTGAAAAATGATCCAGGGAGCAGAAAACAAGCTATCTTCCAATATGAAGCTTCTACATTTCAGCTTCTGAAAGAAAAAAGAAAAACTTACAAGAGACTGTATTACTTTGAATAGGTACTGAAGTATAGAAGAGAGATCTTGATAGCATGACCTTTTCTACCTCATTGACAAAGGCAGTGGTATCCATTTGCTGGAAACTGTAGCTAGACAAACCTAATGTTGACATTCCCTGACTGTGAGGGCAATTAAATATTTAAATAGTTTATATGAGGAGAGATAGTGAATACACCTCTGCTAGGGTTTTAAACATGAGATTAGAAACACCTTTTAAGATGGGTTTTGATTCCTCTTTGGATGAAATCCAATTACATGCAGGTAGACAGCAAGACTTTGCTTACCCTCAAATAACATTGCAGTGTGACATTCTGGGTCAGAAGCAATATTCTCCACTTACTGACACCATCCAAAAAGCAAGAACAATTGTTTCTGCCATCCACAGGGACTTTGCCCATGTTTGGTCAGATGGTTGCTGAAATACTTCAGTTGGTTCCACTCAGAGAAATGAACGAGTGACACTGGTGGTTCTGAATATGGATGTCTGATGGTTGTCAGGTTGGGCTCATCACCTTACAGACTTTGAGCACCGGGAATGGTCCTCAGTTTACAATTTCCTGTTTCTCTGGAAATGCATTTCTATCTGCACAGCTGATCTTTGTAGTGGTGTTAGTGGTAATATGTGTTTTCCAAAACACAACAGGAAGAAAATAACCTTGACTTACTATAAAGAAAATACTGTATGACGTTGATAAAAATGTAAACCACACAACACCCCCCTCCCCCCCCAAACTTTTAATATGGTAACTGCATATCTGCTAAATTCCTTTTAAAAATTGTCATGCAGGACTCTTGGGGAGAAAAATAAAGTAAGATAGGAGGCAAGATTGCTGTAGTTTCCAGTACAGAAGCTCTAAAGAGGGCAGTTCTTTAGCCCAAGCTGTATTTCTTCTGTGTGGCTAAAGGGAATCTCATTTTGGCCCATTGGAGGATTCCTGAAGACTAGAAAGCCACTCCCTTCTTTTCTAGTTTGGGTCTAGGGTGGATCACAGCAAGATACAATTTTGGCACCAGCTGGGTAGCTTCCTGGGGCTGCTGTAACTTCCACAGGGGTTTGCCCAGTCTAGTTTAAAAGGAGCTTTTGAATTGTGAGAGATGTATGTGTAAGTTAGACTCAAATCTGCTTCTTTATCCTCAGCTAAGTTTTAAACTGGTATTAGAAGATACACAATAAACTCAGGAAGGACCAACTTCACAAATATTATGACTGAGAAATACTTTCTGCTGCATTGTACAAAATACCAAGAAACATAAGACACATTTGCATAAGAAAAAAAAATACAAAAGACTTCCCATTAAAAATGAAAAAGAAAATGTCTGTCATTGTGAGAGGAGAAAGACTACAGAAACAGTTCTCGTGTTTGGTAGTTTGCCAGTGAATCAGAAAGGGCTGCTAAAAATGCATTCATTGTGCAGAGCCCCCTCACTCTTGAAAAAACTCCTTTATTCACAGAGACAAGATTCTGCTCTCATATATAGCATGACAACTCCTGTTAAGTCAATGGGATCTGACTTGCATTATGCAGAGGAGACTTTTGTCCAGATATTCAGCATTTGTTTACAGTAGGAAAAAGAGCCTCTACCTATTGTTGAAAACTGTTTCACTGCTTACTTTTAATACAAAGGACTTGAAGTGAGGAAAGCTCAGTTTGTAGGACTTTCACTTCATAACTCTTAGGGGTTGTATCCATTTTTCTAACAACATGCAGTCAGAGTAAAGTTTCAGATGTTTTTCAATGACAAGAGATTCTTAAATAAAGCTGTTTTGAGAAGAGTTTGTAAAACTAAGGTATCTGTCTTAACTGCTGAAGTATTTTTCTCC